CATTTTTTACCCAATGGAATAGTTGTGTCGTTGTTTTTGTTTTGCGTATTGAAAGTAGTGTTTTCTGACTTAATGGGACGTAATATTGCAGGTTAGTGAATTGCAATGGGTGAGATATCATGATGATAGTGAATTTCGTATTCCTTCGATCACATGTCACACAACAACAATAATTGACCGAATAGAATAGTTGCGTCTTAGCTATTGTGTTTTCCTGTTGAAAACTGAGTTTTCTGACTGCTCTGGACGAAATATATCTGGCTACTTGTATGTGTACAGTACTCGCACCGTACAGTGTGTGAAAGAAGAGTTTCGAAACAAACACATGGCAGGTCAGTGGACATTTCTACTTGGTTTCAGTATATCGATGAAGTGGGAGTGCCGTTCCTCCCACACGACCAAATGACTTGACATTTGTATAGGAAACGACACCACGACTGTGTCACTTCCATAACCTCGTCGCCGTTTCTTGAAACGTTGTCTACTAACCCTTTTCCTTCATACATGATAACATTGACTCTTTGGTCGTGATTTCTGTAAACGCATCATTAAATTTGGCGTTTTCTGATCAAAAGTGTGGCAGGGCATTTGAAAAGTGTAAGCTGGAAATCCGAGCCAAAAGTAGAAAAGTTCGCATCAAGCTAATCAGATTTCATTTTAAAAACGACGTCATTTGAAATTTCACCATAGTTAAAAACAAAAGACACTTTATGACCCTAACAAACGCGAGCTTAAAAAGCTACTTTAATGAGAAGAGTAGTTTAGATACCTTCTGCGGTGCAGTGGTTAAAGCACCCGCTTGCGAGACTGGTGTTCCGTGTTCGAGTCCCAGAAATAGAAACCAAGTACAGTATATTCGTAATACAGTGTTGGACGAGCAAATTAGGTACACCCATGTTTTCTACCTCAAATTGTTGATTTTCATCCAATCAAAAGGCGAATAGTTGCACCCAATTCAGAGGCTGCATAGATTGATGGCTTTCAATTAACAAACAGGTCGCTGCAAGCTGAGAAAAGTACATAAAGCTATATGTCGTTGTAAAAGACTGGCCAACCAAATTTGGTACAAGAGTCCAACGAAGCCATTACGAGCTTTACCGACTGCATCAAACTGAGGTACGACAACCAGCAACATCAAGGCAGTCTAAGAGTCCTAAATTAGATGCCAAAAGGACTTCGCCTGACGCCAGAAAAGCAGGGATCGATCCTTGCCTTTCGAATAGCAAAGTGGTCCATTCGCAGGATTACCAAGGAGCTCTGGATATCCAAGGCAACCGTTTGTGGCTTCCTTAGATCGCCAGAGCTCGATGGTACAATCCCGCGAGGTGGACCACATCCCCAAAGTGAGCGAGCGGGACATACGACGCGTACTACGAGTGGCAGTCCAGCTCCAGCAAGATCCAAACCGACCTTCAGCTCGACGTTTCCTCGCGAACCGTGCGGAGAATCCTTGCCAAAGTCCTGCACCTCAAGTACAAGAAGCGTAAAAAGACCCCGAGACTCACGGCGGGACACAAGAAGGCGCGCGTGGAGTGGGCCAAGTCCCATGTTGACCTTGGTCTGGGTTGGAACCAAATCGTCTTCTCAGACGAGAAGAAGTTCAATCTGGACGGTCCAGATGGACTTCAGTACTACTGGCACGACCTGCGCAAGGTAGAACAGTCATTTTCAAGTCGTCAGAACGGTGGTGGCAGCGTCATGATTTGGGCCGGTTTTTCCAGCCAAGAGCTTACCGAAGTCGCCGTTCTTGAAGGCCGGCAAGACTCGTATGCGTACTGTGAAACTATTGCCAACTATCTGCTACCATTCGTCCACCAGAACCACCCCGATGGATACGTTTTCCAACAAGACAACGCAAGTATTCACACAAGCCGCGAAACCAAGGAGTTTTTTTCTGACCAAGGCATCACCGTTTTGAGCTGGCCGGCCCTCTCTCCAGACCTGAATCCCATTGAAAACGTTTGGGGACACTTGGTAAGGAAGGTCTATGCCAATGGACGTCAATTCTCCAGGGTTCAAGACCTCAAACAAGAAATTTTGCGTCAGTGGGAAGCCATCGACCACGAGTACCTTCTGAAGCTGCTGGCGTCCATGAAATTTCGTTGTATTGAAGTCCTTCAATACAAGGGAGCTTGTACAAAGTACTAGAATACATTTCCAATAAAAGAAATCGTGTTTTGTTTGTTTAAATGGTCAAACTGTGCAGTGTACCAAATCCATGTCAAATTGTACAAAATAATGAACATTTTTCTTTGTCAACGATATAGTACTCTTCAGTCAAATCCAAAGGTAACATACAACTGGTCCTTAATGTTGGAATGCATTGAACTTAGTCATATTGCGAAGAAGGCTTTCTACAAAACGGTGCGGTGAAATTTTTGGTGTACCAAATTTGAATGTCCAGTACTAGCAGAAGTTTTAGACAACTCATTGGACGAGTTTGCACTAATGGAATAGCATACAGTTCAACTTGCGTACATTTGATTGGTTGTATTGTTCGTGGATGAAACTCCTGCGTACGATTCAATAAAGAGATGTAACGGACCATGAAACTACTAAATCATACTTCGAAGTAGCTTTTTTTTATCATGTGGGTCTTTCTTGCTACCATGGATTCTGCGCGCGTGTATGAGTTTTGGGCCACCCTACGCGAGTATGGCATTACACACAAGAACGTCATCAAGTGCAACATGGATCACGATGTTCCGGATCTGTCACTGGCCAAACACCATGTCATGGCAGTACAGTATACGCGTTGTGTGAGTCCACTGTGGCATCCAGCTGGTGAAGACCAAGCACAGCCACTACGGTGCCCAGGTTCGTCTCGAATTTCAACGTGTACTTTAACTCATGTTACCACGGTGTAGGTTCGTATCGAATTTCAACCTGCACTTTAACTCAGATTGCCACGGTGCACCGAGATGGTCATCATGTGGATGAATGTGAACAGAATGATGACAATGTAGTACCCCGAAACACAAAGGTACCACGTTTATATGGAAATGCATCTGTGCATGGGTGACGTTGAATTAGGTCACACTTGAAATAAAAAATGCGCTGGCTACATGGATTGATGACGACCCCAAGCACAACTCCAATACGTTGTTCAAGATGCTCAAGGCGTCCATTGGTCAAGAAAGTTTCGATGGCATGTCATGTCCCACTTTGAAGCAAGTGCAGCATGCAGTACACTACATGCGGTCCAAAGACCTTTTGCAGAAAAGCACCGTTCCTGCAGCGATTGAAGAACTCATGAAGTGGCGACTCACCGACAACATTGAAGACCAGGTTGTGCACAAACCATTTGTGTTTGGTGTCGAGGAGGAAGCTGGTAGCTTCAAACTTGGCGACGGTGGTATGCAGGCATTTCGCGTTGGTACGAATTATATTGGTTAAAGTTCGTACGTCACATGAAGTTGTCGTAGGATTGTCAACAGTGGACTCCTTCGAAAGTACCACGCTGTGGTCACAGCCAACCACGACATTTTCGACGAACGTGTTGGGCTACCCCATGTTTGTATTTGGATACTCCGACATGGCGGGCTCATTTCACCTTCTGTTCGTATGCATCACGTCGCAGCGGGCCCACGCCGACGTCGCGTGGCTCCACTGCGGTCACTGAAGGAGAAGTTCACAAGTCTCCTGAATTATGCATGGGCGCCGACAAGACTTATGGGTGATGCAGACAAGGCACAATTCCTAGGAATGACCAACGCACTTCAACCTGAGCTGCCTCTTCTCCAGTACCTTAGGTGTTTTTTTCACGTCCTCAAAAGTATAAGTAATCCTATGTCATAATATTGTCATCATGGTTTGTTCTAGTAGACCTCAGAATCAAATAGTCAGCTTCCGCTCAAATAGTTAGATATATCTAATTTTACAGTAGGAGTATTGGAAGCAATAGAGTTAATTATCAAAATCCCAAACCATCGCAACGATCGACTATTTCGATATTAGATCGGCATCTCGCAAATAGACCGAGTTGATGCGTAACATACCTCCAATATGATCAGTTTGTACATGTCTATCACTAAATATTCAGATATAGAGCGATACATGAGTCGACACGTGTGTCCAATTTTTATTGGATGCCGCCAAATTTCACGCGCCACTTCCAGCGTGCTCCACTTCACACACTTCACATACATCACTATCGAATTTGACACGCGGATGGTTCTGAACATTAACTCCATGCTCGAGAGCTTGCACGTGCAAAGCGTCTATAACCAGCTCTACCTGGAAGAGAGCAACGATATCTACGGCGACGTCGTGGCTGAGGAGAATGACGCCAGGACATACAACAATCCCGTAATCGATCGCGTCATTGAAGACAGCGGTGTTGACGGGTTTCGCATGCTGACCAACTTTACCCCCGACGAGTTCGAGTACCATTTGAGCGTCGTTGAGATGGCTCTCCAAGCGCGCTGGCACGACGGCCGCGGCCGCAGGCCCTTGTCAACGCCGAAGGATGCCCACTTCATGACCTTGACCATTCTGAAGTACTACCATACGTGGCAGAAGCATGCCCTGGACTTCGACATCAATGCCCCAACACTCGAGAAAATGATAATGCGTGTGGTCGACGACGTTATCTCTCCAATTCTCTACGCCCATTTCGTCACGATACCAACCATGGAGGCTCTGCGTAAATACGGCACGACGCTCCGCAACTACCCATATGCGAAGTACGCAACCGACGTCAAGTTCCAACCATCCCACCGTCTGTCTGGCCGCTTCGGGGAGCAAAACCACTACTTCAGCGGCACACATAAGCTCTACACACTCAAGATCGAAGCGTCGGTTTCTGCGCAGAGTCTGCTCGTGGATATGGGTCCCCACGAACCTGGATCGGTTGCCGACCTCACAATGTTCCGCAAGCGGCTGGATGTGCACGCCGCGAATATGAAGAAGACACCTACGGAAGCAACCGTGAATGGCAACGGTGAGCTCTTCCAAGCATTATCAACCATGTGGGCGGTACTTGTAGACAAGGGTTACTATGGCCTTACTGCACCGGTTCGCGCCATCCACCCAAAGAAGCGTCCGTCGAATGGTGCCCTTGACCGGCGTGACCTCGAGCGCAACTCGGCGGTCTACTCTGATCGCGTCATCATCGAAAACTTCTTCGGTCGGGTCTGCATGCTGTGGAAGATTTCCTACATCACCTTTGTTTTGAGCGAGAAAATATACGATGGCATTCAACGACTCACCTTCGCGTTGTCCAACTTCCATGTTGGGCTCATGCCCCTTCGCGACGACGACCTCCACCAGTACCGTGCGGTTCTTGCTCGATACGCGCGCATGACGGAGGAGAAGAGATCGCAGCGTGCAGCGACACAACGCCGCTACGTCTACCGTCGTGCAGAGAGACTCGCAACTGAGTCGATGCGCTCTTCTTTGGTTGCCCGTGGCGCTTTCCTCTCTCCAACCGTCAACACCCGCCGCTAGAATAAATGGCAATTTACACTTGGTATTTGCATACAAAACTTCAAGATTAAATAAAATAGGTATTTTATATTTTCAGCATGCTTGTTTGTAATCGATGATCTTGTTTTGAGCAATCACAGAGCTCCATTGAAAATAGCTGAATCTATTCCGCACTGCCAAGTCTTTCTTCTAAACGTCGATCCCTGGCTAGAAGAGTATGTCAATAGTTAGATGCAAATGTCTTTCGTGTGACGTAGTGTCCTTCACAAACTCAAAGCCGAATTTGGAGATACATCGGTATTTGAACTGGTGGTTTAGTGCTACGACAAACGCCAAGGCATGACAAGCGAGGAGTGGACAAGTGTCACCTTTGACATTTACCTGTTGCATATGTCCACAAGTGAAGCCGATTTGGTCAACAACATGGTCACTGCGCACGCAAACTGGGAAGGGAGCCGCACCTTACGAAAGTTCCGAACCTACTTTTTCAACACATGGCTGCCGTACCACGCAGTGTATTCAACAAACCGCGGGCCGCGGTTTTGGAAGTGGCAAGTGTTTCACAGCCATAGGGGGTGCTCGTACACCAACAACCCCAATGAACATTTCAACCGCAAACTCAAAGATGTATTTATATATATATATATGCACGTCAATCATAACCCTCACTGCATATATGTGTTGTTTAGGCAATCGGTCGTGTCAAGAAGCATGTCCCACACCTTGTTCAAGAAGTGGCGAAACTGGTTCAAGAAATCTCAACTGAGGCGACACCTTGGGTGCAACATCCAGTCCAAACCGAGCGAATGAAGAAATATTTCAAGAAGTTGCTGGCGAGCCGGCGGCTTCGAGTCAACGAAGTGCCGCGCGTACGCCCTGTGACATGGCGTGTGCTTCACCTCCCTGAAGAAATTGCCGAAGGCGAGCAGGATGAAGACATCCCACGACGTGCGTGGCACTACAACTCAGTGTCGCGAAACGTTCAGCGTCTTGAGTCCCACAACCAACCTGATATTGGTGAGTCAATCGAATGCTCTATTTATTTCCAATTAATTTTACGTTAAATATTAGGATGGCTTGTCCAACAAGTTCCGGCTCCAGTCCTGCTGCAGTGTCAGTGCCTCCACTGGACCTGTGATTGAATCTGCTCCCATGCCAACATGGTAGCGACCCAGACTGGCATGGTGTTGCCTGGCATGGAGCGTGGCGCACAGAATCTGGTGAGCCGAATTCGTCGGGGAAATGCTGAAGCCAACGTGTTTCCTTTGCGTGGAGACCGCAACACGCGAAACTAAGTAGACTATCTCTAGTATGTAGTAGGACACCTTAATTTGAATACATGTTTCTATGTTCATTACTGTTACGGACACTAAAATTAAGCTACACGATATTCACATTTAATTCCTATTGGTTAGACATGTTCGACTTTAGCCAATCGAAATCCATTCCTATTTTCAGCTTTTTATTCATCGTATTCTAATTTTGGCCAATGTCAGCACTCTAAACAACGGAACCTTCGTATCATTGGATGTTTATCAAATATTGTAAGAACTTTCGTCCAATGACTCGCGTCTTTTTCCCTAAAAATTATCGGATACGGTAGCACTAATTATTCCATATTTATCAAGTAAGAGTATAGCTCACACGGGTAGAGCATTGGGGTTACAACACAAAGGTTGCGGGTCAAAACCCGCACAGGGTATTAGTTTGGGGAATAATGGGGGGCAATAGAATGAGCGCCGCTAGAACTGCGAAAGCGACCATGGTGTAAATATTCTGTTGTGCAACATGGCATCGCATTCTGGGATGGGTACCTTCGGGAAGCCATAATTCCAGGAAGTCCGATGGTCATCCGCCCCGCAGCTTACAATGGGTTACGTACCTGACCACAAAGAGGATTCCTCGACCGTTCTGGAAGAATCATATGTGTGACAATCGTCAGATCCGCCGTCCTGTCTATGATTATCATCGATTAACTAAAAAAACTATCATTATTGGTACATAGTAGTACTAAGTAGTACTATGTAGTAGTACTAGTACTACGTACAGTACTCACCTACTACGTAGTACTGGTACTACTTATTTATACAGGAGTACTTCAGTACCGTAGTATTATTATTGGTAGTAACTACATACGAATAAGTATTACTAAACTTAGAGTATAGTACTGTACAGTACTTCGAGTATAGTACTTCGAAGTACATACTTCGTAGTATAAATACACTACTCCATAGTACTACTAGTAGTGTATAAAGTCTATTATACACGATTTACGAAACAAACACGAAACAAAATGTATGGAGTCACGAAATTTTTTTGTTTCGTAAACCAGTTATATCCAATGCACGCAATCTTGAAGTTTGTATGATTTTCTTTGTATCCAAGATATAAGCTGATTCACGAAACAAACACGAATTCAAGCTACTATGAACATACTAGTAGTACAGCAAATAGAAGGATTCACATAAAAAACGATGGTCGCCGTGCACATACCACGAGCGTTACAGCTGACGATGTCATCGCACTACGAGTAGTAGAGGACACCAGGTCCCAATACGACTCTATCATAACACGTTTCACACGCTGGCTTGAACGCGAGCACCCACTACACGTCGCAGCCGGAAAGGTCATACTCCCAGTGTCCCTCGAGCTATGCAAGCTGATGTTCTCGTTATGCGTCGGTAAAGCGCACGACAGCGGGTCGTGAGGTCATACCTAGGAAGTTTAACTCAGTTTCGACAATCAATCGCGCGAAGAGTGCAATCATATTCCTTCATCGTGAAGAAGGCGTCGACATGACTGATGCTATGGCTGTTATGATGAAAGATATTAATAGTATTGAAATTAGTATGTGTTACATGGTGAAATATTGTGTAGACTGTGTGTATGGATACAAAAGAAAATTTGATCAAACAAAACACAAGCGCATCCGGTTACACCAGAAAACCCACCATTTATGCGGATACTGATCTCCCCCCTTAAACGAAACGGGGTAAACTTGATAATTTTTGAAACTTTATATTATCCAACCATATCGGAAGGTGATGACTTTTTCAAAATTCGAACACTTGAATCGTTTGGCATTGAAATGGATGACATCATTTCCACTGTGAGAAACTGCTGGAGACGCACTGGCATACTCAGCTCTGACTTGGAGACGCCCAGCGCTTGAATGCATGTATAAATGGTTGGTTCAGACAGCCTGCAAATACCTGTAAGAGTTAATTTACTGTGTGAATTGCATAATTTGCTCCGTTTCGTTTAAGGGTGGAGATCAGTACAGCAAATGGGGAATCCGCTGCAAAATTGGCAAATTTTAGAGCGGCTTTAACTATTTATAACAGGTTCAGTTCTATCCTTATCGAATTTGAAAGGATAGGTTGCGGATAAAATAGAACTGACGTTTGCGAAATCTGTCTATTGCCGATTTTGCGCTCCTTTCAATCGACCATATCTGGGAAAGTTCAAATTATCTCGACGTGAAAGTTGCAGTGCCGAACTCACCTTTTTGAGCTTTATCTCATCGTCCGAATACAAATCAAGTATGAGAGTTTGAATCAGGGCAAATAAAATGTCAAAGTTAGGCGCTCAAACAGGCGATTGGTGATTTGCCGAAATTTAACCTTGTATTCAGTAAGGTGATTCATGTAATTCCCGGCCAGCATGCAATTCCCGGCCAGCAAATGGCCAATCACAATCATCCATGGACGATGATTGGACAAAATTACGTACTCTTGTATCACATACTTGTAAGATTTAATATTCTGCTTGTCCGACATGTAATACAGTTTTTATATTAGTTGCACTTCTAAATTTAATTGCTTGAATACTTTATACATATCATTATTAAGAGGTTCTGAGGACTTTATCACCCAAATCAGGTATACATTATTCAAGTGACTTACTGGCCGGGAATTAAATTCACACAGGGAAATTTCAATTTTAGAAATTCGACGAGCAAATTGACCATGCGATACAAATGATGGGACCTGCATAAAGTTATAAAGCTCGTCACGATCTTCAAAATGCGTGTTTTCGCAGCCTCATCGGATGAATGGGTGACGAGTTATGGCACTTAGAAAGTAGGCCAAGCTGGCCGGGAATTTCATGAATCACCTTATGGGAATTTTACGCCTCCGAAGAAACAAAATTATTGATTTATAGAACAATATTATATATATGCACTAATAATATTTTACAGGTCATACTTGATGTGAAACAGGCAAGGCCCTCTTTAAGTCTTTAAGTTAGTACTATTCCCACCATACGGTTTTGAAGGTGTCAGTTGTTGCAAGCTTATTTTATCCAATCATATTAATTCTTGAATTCTATTGGGTAATGCGGCTTAGATCTTTCGGCAAATCACAGATCCGTCACGTTATCTGGAGGTAGTATTTCATGATTGGAGATATTTTAACCAATCCTTTAGGACCTCAAAAATGTTCCACGTGTCGAAGTTGCAGTTTATGACGTCATCGAGGGTAACGTAACGAGTCAATTTATGGACATGCGCCAGTTTATCAAAGCCACCTGTAATACACTGTGGTGTAATTAAACTTGATGAAACAAGTTCCATTCGATCAATCACAACCTAAGCTTTATGGGGATATAAAATGATAAAAAAATAGATAAAATTTGCAACAATTGCAACATAATTTCGAGCTATCTTCGACAAAAAAGGTGTCCATAAATTGCCTCGTAACGTTAGTGGATGTCCATGTTGCACTGACTCGACCTTGCTACGTGGCAGGCATCCGGAGTCCTCACGTAGTTTCACTCGACCTTGCTACGTGGCGGGCATCGGGAGTCCTCACGTAGTTTCACTCGACCTTGCTACGTGGCGGGCATCGGGAGTCCTCACGTAGTTTCACTCACTTCATTGGCAAATCGCATTCTGTTGATGCCCTGTTCTCACCCCTTAGATACTAACCTATACCCCAGCCAGCATCATCCACCACCATGTCGTCTAGAGAACGGAGTTCGTCACTGTGGTTGTAGGTGTTGGCGTTGTTATAGCTCGTGGCTTCATGGGTTTCGTGTATTGCGCAATACTGAATACTTAAGTACTCCTAACTATAGTGTGTATACGATGCTGGCACTCACGCCCGGGTTCGACCTTAACGATACCGGAATCCCCACTTTTCGTCGTAGTGGCTGCGACTGCGCGAGCTCGCTTTCTAGAGCATCCCACATAACGTTACAGTAGAGTAAAAACCAAATCTTTCAGTCAAGCATCATGATGACACCAATCGAAAGTCGCGTCACCCAACCCTCGAGGTGCGGAGGCTTCTTACCCGACATGGCGTGAGCACGGCGCACACTCACTGACACGCTGCCTTTTGAATAATGAAGAGTAATTTTGAATCAACCAATTAGATTGCATAATTCAACAACCCATTTGACCAATCATAACGTAGTACTTTAGTAATTTACTCTGATACTATTGGTTAAAATGAATTGACTTTTGTCATCCTAATATTTAAATTAATATTGGTACCGGTAGTACCACGGACGTGTTCGCTGTAGTAGGGACGGCAGATGCATACGAAGCATTGAATTGATTGAAACATGTTGTGTTAGTTCAGTTGTTCTGTCTGTAGGACGTTCGGAAAGGCGTGGCACGAAGGCAAGGAGTGGATTGCATCTAAAGTAGCACGCCGCGGCAACTGGCACCAAAGTGCCAGCTGCAGAGGAGTGCTTCTATACTACACCATTTTTCGTTTAAGTTCAGGTTATTTCCGGTATATTTCGTCCGACGCACAACTGATTCACGCCATGTGCGTTATGTTCGCCAACCATTCAATATATTTCGTCCAGACCCTACATGGTTGCAGTATGTTTCGACAAATGCCCGGTATATATCACCCCAGAACCGGTATATTTCACATGTTGTTCAATATATTTCTAATGATGTTCCATCTATTTCGATAAATCGACGTAGTATCGACGGAACGAAGTAGCCAATGAAATTTTCGAAAAAAAGACATTTCGACATTGCCAAGCTTCTCCATTTCACAAAGAGTTCAATATTGTATCGGACAGACAGTGAGTATATTTACTGTTAGTTCAAGTAAAATGACGCTCGACGACTTCAGGTGGATTTGACGTCGTTCGTCGAATCTACGAAAATACCCAATTTAGCTCGAAAGCACATTACCTATGATTTAGACAAGTATTCAACACCTGCAATTTACTTGATTTGCTTCGAAAATCGAAATACTAGTAGATGGAACATCATTTGAAATATATTGAACAACGTGTGAAATATACCGCGTGGGGGATACATATGCTGGACATCTGTCGAAATATAAAGCAACCAAGTAGGGTCTGGACGAAATATATCGAATATTCGGCGAACATAACGCACAAGTCGTGAATCAGTTGTGCGTCAGACGAAATATACCGGAAATAACCTGAACTTAAACAATAAATGGTGTAGTAGTACTTACGACTTACGGGACAGCATTGGATATTAATACCAACCTTGGATACTATGGTTAATATAATATAATTGTTGAATTAAAAGCGTGGATGACATGTGGATGACATTTGGATGAAATTGGATGAAGTTGTGGGATGAAACCTAAAGTAGTGACCAAGCCTTACGTTGGCCCCGAGCGCCCGGGAGGCCGTCACCTCCAGACGGAAATAAACCAGCCACAAGAGGAAAATTTGAATATTTTCAACAATTTTTCGAAGTTGAAAAATCCGAAAACACCTCCCGAAAGTACTCAAGCGGTTGGCGCAACGAATGAAAAATAAACGCCAATTTAACCAATGCAGGCAACTTTCAAGACTACTTACTCAATTCAAGATAAATTCATACGGATACACTTGAATTTATCCGAAATTTGGGAATGCTGATTATTTTTGAGCGGCAAAATATTCATGGCGCGATTTCCATGAATGACCTGACATCCGACCAGCGCCGGGCTGTGGTTGACCATCTTCTCTTGCGCATTGTAAAGGGTCCCTGTAAGCTGCAACGTGGTGCGATACAAGACGTCGCTCGCATGTTTGGCCGCAATCGCCAAACGATTGCTGACATCTGGAAGCGTGCCAACGTGTCACTGGGCAACGGCGACCTTCCAGCACGTGAGTTGGTCTGCGAGGACGTTTCGAGCAAAAAAAAGGTCGAGTTGGGCGTAAGCTCAAATACAATGCCCTGCCCGAGCGTATCAGAGCCGTACCAGCTGCGCAGCGCACGACTTTGAGCTACGTTGCTCACGCTATTGGCATACCTGTCAGTACCCTTAAGGACTACTACAAACGCGGAACATTAGTAAAGTACAACTCACACGTTAAGCCTAAGCTAACTGATGTGAACAAAACTGCCGGCGTGAAGTGGGCCATGGACTTCGTCCACCCGACCGAGCTCCGATTCCACGACATGTACGACTACGTACACGTTGATGAGAAGTGGTTCAATGCAACTCGAGTCAAGTCTCGCTTCTACCTCCTCCCCGGCGAGACCCCACCCCATCGCACGACCCAAAGCAAACGTTTCATCACAAAAGGTGATGTTCTTCACCGCGGTGGGGCGTCCTAGATGGGATGACGCGAAGTCAGAGTTGTGGGACGGCAAGATCGGGACGTGGCACTTTACCGAGATCGTCCCAGCTGCAAAGTCGTCGCGCAATCGCCCAGCCGGTACCTTGGAATTGCAACCCATCAACGTCACCTGACCGATCTACAAGAAGATGTTGATCGACAACGTTATCCCAGCCATTAAGGCGAAGTGGCCCACCGAAAGTAGCCGCTCCGTCGTCATCCAGCAGGACAACGCCCGACCACATGTGTCCCCTTGGGATGCCGCCGTTGTCAGTGCCTGCACGTCCGACGGTTGGTCAATGAGTCTCAAGTGTCAAGCTCCAAACTCACCTGACCTCAACGTGTTGGATCTCGGGTTCTTTCGAGCCATCCAGTCGCTGCAGCAGACGCACCATTCAAACACCTATCAAGAGATCGTGGACGCAACGAACAAGACGATGTCGACCCGTGGTCGTTGGAACGCAACTTCCTTACCTTGCAGTGCTGTCTCCGCGAGGTCATCATGGCTGCCGGCGACAACTCCTACAAGGTCCCGCACATGAAGAAAGAAGCCCTGAAGAAGAGTGGGAAG